GGAAGTGGGCATCCCAGGCGCTTCCTGCTGCTGGGCCAGGGCCTTGCTCTCGGTTCAGTAAGTTCAACAGGCAAAGTTACGGAAAGAACATTCTGGAAGTTATTTTTTCTCAGACCAAAACAACAATCAAACCCCTCCCACCAGGGCCACAGCTGGGGTCATGTCATCATCAGCAGGATGGTGGCCTGGGCCGTCTGGTCCCTGGCCAGCTGCAGGTTGCTGCCTCCTGCCCAGCCTCACCAGCACACACGGTCCCCAAGGCCTGGACGCCAGCTGTGTGGAGGTGCTGTGCCCACTCAGGGCCCTCTACCTGGTTACTCTGCCTGCAGGTTCCACTCCAGCTCACTTCCCGCTCAGTTCCCAGACTCGGCACCCCACATGCCAGGAAGTCACAGCCCAGGGGTCCTGCTCTACATCCTGTCTTCTTCTCGTCCCGTTCGCCTTTGCTCTACTATTTCACACCGATCTCCGCGTGCAGCTGGCACTGGGCCGATGCCACACCACGGTCTGCTTCAGCTGGCAGACCTCGAAGGAGGCCTCAGGCCCAGCTGGGGTTGCCATGGGCTTTGAGGAAGGGGTGCTGACTTGATGGCAGGGACTCCTGTCTCCACCTGTTTTGAAGTTAACCTGGGCATGGCATGAGGTGCCCCCTCTGATCCCCAGCCCTGGCCCAGCTGGGCTCTGTGAGGCGGACAGAGCTGCTTGAGTTCTCAGGTCAATCCCGGAGATGCGACACACCAACCTCTAACCTGCCGAAGGAGGGTCCAGAGCTGTATCCTAAGGGCAGACAGAGGGCAGGGGGAGGTCCAAGCCCTCCCCACAGCCTGGGCACCCCTCATCTTTCCTGCTGGCATACAGCCACAATGCCATGCTCCCCGACGCCTGAGTGAACCGCTGACCCTGCATTGGGACTCCATCAGCCTTGCATGCTGGGCCTGCCCTGGCAGCCAGGCACTCCAAGGTGGGGTCAGAGCAGGGAGCCAAATCCCCAGGCAGGGAAGGTGGGTCTAGGAGCCCACACCCCTGTCGCCCCTGTCCTGTGATGAGAGGGGCCACGCTGAGCTGCCATGGGCCCCTGCCGTCTGCCTGCCGCCCCCTGTCTAGCACAGGAGGGTCTTTGTCATCCACCCGCCAACCCCTGTCCTGGATGGGCCGTGCTGAGCTGCTCTGGGTCCCTGCTGTCCACCTGCACTGACCCAGGAGCCTGTGACTGTGGGCGGCGCTGTGCCCTGGGCCACCCCATCATCCCGGGGTGCCAGGTCTAGGCCTCTAACAAAGTACAGTAAGAGTAACAAAAGACCCAGCCCAGGGCACCTGCCCCCTGCGGCCCTGCTGTCCCAGCAGGAGTGTGGGCACCTCCAGGCAGCCTGGGCACTCCTGGGCACGGCTGGACTGTGGGAGGCCAGGATGGAGCCGGGGCAGTGCCGGAGTCCAGCTCCAGCTGAGTTCAGAACTCGCGAAGGGTGCGTGGATGAGGCGCAAAGCGGAAAGGAAGACGGACCACTAGGATTTCATCATCATAATGGACAAGGCAGGAAAGCTGTCCGCTTTATTTATACAAAATCAGCCAAACTCTGGCTCAGACTCCTTCCGTCATGGTCAAGTGGGTGTTTCTAAAGATAACTCTGCCATTTGTTTCACCTTAGGCCAGGATGCTACCCATCCTGGCACTGTGGTTAGGAAGAAGTTCTCAGTAGATGGTGCATATCAATCAGTAACACATTCCTACCACAATCCTCATTCTACAGCTTAGTCTCCAGTTAATCAAGGAAGGAAGGGCTTCACAGAAGGAGGAACCTAAAGATCAAAGAAGGAGGGAAAGAATAAATTCCCACTACACTTGGGGACGGAACACCCTTGATTAGCATATGGTCAATGGGGACAGCAATAATAAAAGGCCCTTCGGCTAAAACAATATCAGTAACATCAACTTCCAAGCTCACATTGGCAGTAAACATTAACTCCGCAGAGGCAGACAATGCCTAAATAGACTACAGAATTCTCAGCGGGGTGGTCCGGTGTCCATGCAAGGGGAGGAGGAGCTGCCTTCAGGTGGCTGTAGAGACATCCGCCCGGCCCTGCCGTGCAGCGGGAAGTTCCTTGCGGCCTTGCCTGCAATGGAACAATACTTTACACACCTTCCTGTCTTCCACATCCATCACACGGACCCCAGCAGGGCAGGAGCCAGCTCTCACACACACACCCACACACCCCCAGGAAAGTTCTGGAAGGACAATTGTATAGTGTTTATCTGGGCCATCTCCAGGCTACTGGTGTTTTTGTTATACATCCAGGAATTTTCTAGAACCCACAGGCACACACTCCCTGTTGGTGATGCTCTCTCAGAAGGGGATCGGCAAGGTTCCCAGGCAGGCCCAGCCCGCGTCACCATGACCCCACGGTCCCCAGGCAGGCCCAGCCCACGTCACACTGACCCCACGGTCCCCAGGCAGGCCCAGCCCGCGTCACCATGACCCCACGGTCCCCAGGCAGGCCCAGCCCGCGTCACACTGACCCCATGGTGCCCAGGCAGGCCCAGTCCGCGTCACACTGACCCCACAGTCCCCAGGCAGGCCCAGCCCATGTCACACTGACCCCACAGTCCCCAGGCAGGCCCAGCCCGTGTCACACTGACCCCATGAGAACCCACCACCCAGCACTGCGGCCAAGCAGTCCCGGACACACTGTCCTGCTCCTGGGCCCAGCGACTCCCCAAAGACCCCGCAGGGAGGCGTGTCCTTCCTCCCACGAGGCCACACCCCCACCTCCTCCAGGGCCTCAGCTGCTAGCCCTACCCTCGGCCGAGCAGCAGGCACCCAGGGTCTGCAGATCACCAGGTCACGGCGCCATCTTCCTGCTGGGGCAGCTCGGGCACCAGGCCTGGGGCCCTGGAGGACAGGCAGCCTCCCCCGTCTGACAGGGGCCTGACATGCTGTAGCCTCTGGGCCTGCGGCACGGGGTCAAGCACACCCCACACATGTGCTCCGTGCTCAGCACAGGCGCTGCGCCGCCAGGGCCGGCCTGGAGGGCACAGCACCTCACGCTCGGCGGCCTGTGAGGCGAGCCTGCAGAGCAGTGTGCGTGATGGCAGGCATGCATGCTGGCGCCCACCTCCCCGAGGACCCCAGCCTGTCACACACCCTGGCCTTCAAGTCCCTGCACCCAGGACCCTCTCTTGCCCTCTACTGGGACCACTGCCCTGAGGGTCCCTCGGTTCGTCCCGCAGGGCAGCCCCAGAAAACCTCAGAAATGCCATGCCCAGGCCGTGTCTCCTCTCGGGTCGTTCCCAGACCCAGGGAACCAGCACGTCCACGGAGGGGTTTTGCCCCCAACCGCACGTGCCCGACTTGCAGAACTTAGCGGTCAGGCCTACTGACCATGTCCATTATGGGGGTGAGCAGCTGCTGAGCTTGGAGGATCGGAGCCTTCCTGTGGGCAGGACTGGGGGGACCCCACCTGCGCCCCACCGACTCACCCTCACACTTTGAGCTCAAGGACACAGGACAGGAGTGGGGGGAGGGGAGAGTCACATGGTCTCCACTCTCCTGCTCAGGATGTGTGACTTAAAAAATTATTTTGTTCGGGCCTGGCGCGGTAGCCTAGTGGCTAGAGTCCTTGCCTGTCAAATGGCATTGGTTCTAATCCTGGCAGCTCCACTTCTCATCCAGCTCCCTGCTTGTGGCTGGGAAAGCAGTTGAGGACGGCCCAAAGCCTTGGGACCCTGCACCCATGTGGGAGACCTGGAAGAGCTCCTGGCTTCAGATCGGTGCAGCTCTGGCCGTTGAGGCCACATAGGGAATGAATCAACGGTCGGAAGATCTTCCTCTCTGTCTCTCCTCCTCTGTATATCTGATTTTCCAATAAAAATAAATAAATCTTCTAAAGCATGATTTTGAGATGAACACACACAGAGGCAGATCACCTGTTGGTTCACTAACTGACCACACAGGCCAGGACTGGGCCAAGCTGAAGCCAGAGGCCGGGAGCGCCATCCCGGTCTCCCCAGGGTCCGGCAGGTGTGCGGCCCGCCCTGGTGCCAAGGAACCGGCAAGGCGCCAGCATGGCGGGGGTCTGCAGGAAGCTGTGGCTGCGACTCGCTGGGGTCCCTGCGGCACCAGGCCTGTGTGGCGTCTGGGTCTCTGGGACACATGGCCAGCTCAGGGAGATGGCCGCTGTCCATCCCAGCGGAATGGGCACTCCAGCAGGGAGAGCCGAGTGTGGGAGTGCCCTGGGCTGGGTCTCTGGGACACATGGCCAGCTCAGGGAGATGGCCGCTGTCCATCCCAGCGGAGTGGGCACTCCAGCAGGGAGAGCCGAGTGTGGGAGTGCCCTGGGCTGGGGTTGCGGGAGGGGGGAAGAAGGCAGAAGCTCTGACCCAGGCAGGGTCGGGCTCTGGGGGTCCCAGCTCAGCAGGAAGACCCTGGGCCACCACACAACACACAGGGCAGCAGAGCTGAGCGCGTCCGTGGGCAGAGCCCCCTGCGTCAGACATGCAGGACAAGACCCCGCGGGTGGACCCTGACCCCAAACTTCCACAACGCGCGGAGCCGGGCCAGGCCAGAGCCAGGAGCCCCATCTGGGTCTCCCACATGGGTGCCGGGGCCCAGACATCTGGGTGACCCTCTGCTGCTTTCCTCGGGGCGGCGAGGGGCTGTGGGACGCCCGTCCCGGGCGGCGGTCAGCGTGAACCCCGGGCCACCGATACAGGTGGCGGCTGTCGCTCTAGGAACTTAAATCTTAATGCACTCTAGAAGAAGGTCCCGGGGCAGGAAGACGCCGAGGACGGCCACTCCGCGTTCCTCGGTGAAGAAGGGCGCGGGGCGAACCGGCCACGCCCGGGAGACCGGGTGCGGGACGGGAACTCCCTGCCTGGCTTCCCCCGGGCAGAGCGCGCAGGCGCAGACGCCGGGGCAGCGGACACTCGGGCGGAAACGGCTTCGGCCGTGCTCAGGGCGCGTGCGCGGCGGCCGGGTCCGCGGAGCCGCTTCCGGGGAGCCGCTTCCGGGCAGCCGGGCTTGGACTTCCCCGGGTTGGCCGCCGTCGCCACCGCCGCCATGGACCCGTTCCTGGTGCTGCTGCACTCGGTGTCCGCCTCGCTGTCGAGCGACGAGCTGAGGGAGCTCAAGTTCCTGTGCAACGGGCGTGTGGGCAAGCGGAAGCTGGAGCGCGTGCAGAGCGGCCTGGACCTCTTCTCGGTGCTGCTGGAGCAGAACGACCTGGAGCCCGAGCGCACCGACCTGCTACGCGATCTGCTCCTCGAGCTGCGGCGCCATGACCTGCTGCTGCGCCTGGAGGCCTTCGAGGCGGGGGCGGCGAGCGGGCCGGCGCCGGGGGCGGCAGGTGGGTGGGCCGGCGCCGGGGAGCGCGGGACGGGCGGCCGGGGACCCTGTGTGTCGGGCACAGCGGGAGGTGGGCGTGTGTGCGCCCAGGGGCTGTGGGTGTCTGGTGAGGGTGGGCGTCTGTGCGCCCAGGGGCTGTGGGTGCCCGGTGAGGTGGGCGTCTGTGCGCCCAGGGGCTGTGGGTGCCCGGTGAGGTGGGTGCCCGAGTGTGCCCAGGGGCTGTGGGTGCCCGGTGAGGTGGGCGTGTGTGTGCGCCCAGGGGCTGTGGGTGCCCGGTGAGGTGGGTGCCCGAGTGTGCCCAGGGGCTGTGGGTACCCGGAGAGGTGGGCGTCTGTGCGCCCAGGGGCTGTGGGTGCCCGGTGAGGTGGGCGTGTGTGCGCCCAGGGGCTGTGGGTGCCCGGTGAGGTGGGCGTGTGTGCGCCCAGGGGCTGTGGGTGCCCGGTGAGGTGGGTGCCCGAGTGTGCCCAGGGGCTGTGGGTGCCCGGTGAGGTGGGCGTGTGTGTGCGCCCAGGGGCTGTGGGTGCCCGGTGAGGTGGGTGCCCGAGTGTGCCCAGGGGCTGTGGGTGCCCGGTGAGGTGGGCGTGTGTGCGCCCAGGGACTGTGGGTGCCCGGTGAGGTGGGTGTGTGTGCGCTCAGGGGCTGTGGGTGCCCGGTGAGGTGGGCGTGTGTGCGCCCAGGTGCTGTGGGTGCCCGGTGAGGTGGGCGTCTGTGCGCCCAGGGGCTGTGGGTGCCCGGTGAGGTGGGTGCCCGAGTGTGCCCAGGGGCTGTGGGTGCCCGGTGAGGTGGGCGTGTGTGCGCCCAGGGGCTGTGGGTGCCCGGTGAGGTGGGTGTGTGTGCGCTCAGGGGCTGTGGGTGCCCGGTGAGGTGGGCGTGTGTGCGCCCAGGTGCTGTGGGTGCCCGGTGAGGTGGGCGTCTGTGCGCCCAGGGGCTGTGGGTGCCCGGTGAGGTGGGTGTGTGTGCGCTCAGGGGCTGTGGGTGCCCGGTGAGGTGGGCGTGTGTGCGCCCAGGTGCTGTGGGTGCCCGGTGAGGTGGGCGTCTGTGCGCCCAGGGGCTGTGGGTGCCCGGTGAGGTGGGTGCCCGAGTGTGCCCAGGGGCTGTGGGTGCCCGGTGAGGTGGGCGTGTGTGTGCGCCCAGGGGCTGTGGGTGCCTGGTGAGGTGGGCGTGTGTGTGCGCCCAGGGGCTGTGGGTGCCCGGTGAGGGTGCCCGTGTGCGGCAGGGACTGTGGGTGCCCGGTGAGGTGGGCATCTGTGTGCGTCAGGGGCTGTGGGTGCCCGGTGAGGTGGGTGCCCGTGTGCGCCCGGGGGCTGGCTGTGAGTCCCCAGTCGGGAAGTCCTGAATGCCAGGAATCTCGAAGCTCAGGGCCGTGGCGGATGTCCACACCCTGTCTGGGCGCAGTGTGATGACGCAGTGTGATGAGGAGCCCCTGGACACTCCCAGCGGGAGTTCCTGATGTGCGCAGGGAGGAGATGGCTGTCTTCCTTTCCAATAAAGTTTCAAGCACAGCCTGTAGCATTGGTTGTAGGCGGTACCCACGCGTGCTTCTGAAGGAAACCAATTCCGTGTTTAGTGTCCAGCAGGGGGCTGTCGGGTAGCAGGGGGCTGTCACCCCTCCCTCCGCCCGCAGCTGGACCCAGAAGGGCGAGAGGCACCGAGCGGGGAGCACCCCTGGCCGGACACAGACGTGGGCGTGTCCTCGTGGTGGCAACATAAGGACCAGAGCTCCTCGGTGGCCAGGTGGGCAGTGCAGCTGCTGAACACGGTCAAGATTGGACTTTTAGATTTGTTTAGCAGATATTGCAGAGAGAGAACAGAGGACAACTCTTCCATCGCTAGTTCAGTCTCCACATGGCCGTAACTGCCGCAGAGGAACCCATCAGGAGCCAGGAGCTTCTTCTGGGTCTCCCGCGCGGGTGCAGGGTCCCAAGGCTCTGGGCTGTCCTTGACTGCTTTCCCAGGCCACAAGCAGGGGGCTGGGTGGGAAGTGGAGCTGCCCCCAGGTCAGATGTTACATATGGATGGACGTGGTGGCTCACAGAGATGAGGCGTTCAGCAGGAGTGACGGGCTGCCAGGTGCTGGGCTGTGGGGGCTATAGTCCAGATAAGGCGTGTAGGAACTGGGTGGCTGCCTGCTCCTCTCACAGGCCGTCTGCCACTGTCCTGCTGCCCAACCTCAGCGAAGTCGCTGGGGTCCTTGTCCCCCTGTCCCCTCGGTTATTCAGGAGATCGTGGTAACACAGGAAGGCCAGCATGCAGTGGTCCCTGGTGACCCTGGGGACCCTGGACCACCACAGCTGATCGTGGTACCCAGAAACAGGCTGGTGGCTTGGCACTGTGGGAACACCCCACCCCAGCCCTCGGTTGCCTCAATGAGTGAAAGGCTGACAGCGACCAGGGCCACCCTCCCCACTCCTCTCGCTGCCTCGGGGGGCTGCAGGCCTTCCAGGGCGTGTGGCCTCAGTGTGCCTCACAGGAACGGACACCTGTCACCGTGTATTCCAGAATGCTCCCTGGAGGTCTCGGTTACACCTGCCGAGGCCAGGGGCTGGGGAGGACTGGAGACAGCCCTTGGGGTTCTCCTGACCATGCCGATGGCCTCCTGTCTGCTGCCCTCCGCCGAGAGCCCCCCGGGGGTTGGGATGCAGGGCCACCTGTCTCCCCCAGGTCTCAGGTGTAACTGTGTTCTCGCCCCCAGACCTGCGTGCAGCCTTCGACATTGTGTGCGACAACGTGGGCAAGGACTGGCGGCGGCTGGCGCGGCAGCTGCGGGTCTCGGATGCCAAGATCGACGGCATCGAGGAGCGCTACCCACGGAACCTGTCCGAGCGGGTGAGGGAGTCTCTGCGGGTCTGGAAGAACTCGGAGAGGGAGAACGCCACGGTGGCCCGCCTGGTGGAGGCGCTCAGGGCCTGCCGGATGAACCTGGTGGCTGACCTGGTGGAGGAGGAGCAGCAGACCCGGGACCCCCAGAACCAGAGCGGCACCGCATCCCCGATGCCGTGGGACTCGGGATCACCCTGACGGGGAGCCGGGCGGGGGAAGGCCCGGTCCCAGCGGCCCTGTGCCTGCCACTTGTGTGGCAGAGCTGCGTTAACCCAGCGCCCCTGTGTGACAGGCAGGCATCTCTCTGTGGCCTCAGGAGAGGGTGTCTGCAAATGAGCCGGCGACACCATCTCACACGGGTGAGGGCAGAGGGTCAGCAGTGACCGGCGAGCGGGGCCTGAGCCCACCCTGCCCCACCAGGTCAGCAGGTGCACCTGGACATGGTCCTGGAGTCCGGAGACCCCGCTCAGGCCGTAACCGGCGCTTGATTCACACCACAGGACCCTGGTGGTCGCGGGGCTGCCGTGCTGTGTGCCACACGCCCCAACAGGGGCGACCCTGAGGAGGACCACGGTCCCGGTGACTGCATTTTGCTGATATTCTGCTCAGAGCCATGTTTCTCTAACGAGCCAGCCAGGAGGCAGGAGCCTTCACTTGCGAGCTGGCCTCTTGCTGCCAGCTCAGCCAAGCAGGTGCCTTACGCTGGGAAGCCCGTGGCCGGAGCCTCCTCTGTCCCCAGCGCCGTCTGCTGCAACCCAGGACTGGGTGGCCTGTCCCCTTGACGATGCTGCCAGCGTGGCTGGGTGTTCCTTGGGGCTGGGCCGGCCAGGCCCTTGGTCCCCCACTGCCTGGCGCTGGCCAGCCTGGAGGCCAGTCTTGCCTCCAGCAGGATCCAGAGGCCAGCCTCTGACAAGGCCCCTCCTGGCCTCTTACCCTGCAGGCCCCACGAGGAGAGGCGTGGGGTGTCCCTGGCGTTTAGAACCTGGGCCTCCTGCCCCTCGCTCCCCCAACCCCAGGTGTAGCTGGAGCTCTTGGCTGACCCCTGTCGCTCTGGCCCCACGAGGGCCTCACCCTTCTCTCGGCCCTGAGGACCTAGCCCTTGACACCCAAGCACCAGGAACAACCCGTGTGGGACCACGGACGGGATCTGGGGCCCTGCTCCTTTTCCTTTTGTGCTTTTTATTTCTGTTGTAGCTGCTCCGCGTCATGTTGCCTGGGTGGGGCAGGCCAGCACGTGGATGTGACAGAGGGACCAGTCACCTTGCAGCTGCTCCAGGACAGGCGAGAGCCGTCTGGGACGGGGACACGTGGCTGCAAGACCACCTCCTCGGGGCTCGGACTGGGTGGAGATCCACCGTGGGAATCTTGTCCACCCATGAAAGGAATGGCCACCAAGGAACAGAGGCCAATTTGGACACAAATGGGGTGTTTGTCAAGCGAGCGGATGCGTGGGGCGGCCACGTGTGTGTGGCACACGCACTGGGGACAGCTTGTGTTCAGAATGGGGGAGGAGGTCCCGGCGACTGCGCTGTGTCGGTTGACAACTGTGAGCCTTCCCTGCCGCTGGGCGGGATCAGTGCTGTGCCTGACCAAGTTATTAAATGCCGCAAATTTGGTAATGCACTTGACCTGACCTGTGTCCTGGCGGGGCGGGGTGTTCCCTCCCTGGCAGAAGTGTGAGCTGTTAGGGACCACGTGTGTGTCTGCTGCTTTGTGCGTAGTGTCTGTAGGGGAGGGCGGCTCTGCTCCCTCCCTAGTGGCCCCAGGGCCGTTGGGGCACAGTTTGCAATGGAGAGCGTGGTCCCAAGCCTGCTCCCAGCCCCTGAGCAGCGGGCTCGCAGCCCTGCCTGAGCCCTGGCCTTGCTCGCAGCTCAGATCCGGCTCAGCCCGCCTGGCGTGGCCCACCTGCCCCTCTCTGCCGCTCCCTGCGTTCCAGGCCTGAGGGAAAGCAAACACTGGGCAGGGCAGGGCAGGGCCACCAGCAGTGTCCCGCACCTGGAGTCGGCCCCAAGCATGGCACTCCCCAGGTGGGCTTAATGCTGGCACAGCTCCACGCCCTCAGTCACTTCTCCTGTAAATTCTTGGTGGTGGGCTCACAGCCCAGGCTGGGACTGTCTGGCCTCTGACCCCACTGAGGAACCCCCTCCCAGGGCTCGTGGGTGGCAGGCCAGTAAGTTGGGGTGTGGGTGCCGCTGAGCCAGCCCCGGGAGTGGGTGAGATGGCATGTAGCAGCTGAGAAGCTAGGCACGTTTTCCGGGGGGAAGTGGCAGCAAGAAGCCCCAGTGACGGACAGGCCACTGAAGGAATCCATCTCCAGTGGGCTCTGGGGCCCTCGGACAAATGGAGCCATGGTGGTGAGGCTGTGTGCCTGCTGGTGCTGGGGGAAGCCTCGGCACCCACTGCCAGCACCACTTCCTGCTGGAGCGACCTGCCAGAGTCCTTTGGGGGAATCACAAGCCCCACAGGCCCCCAAGCCTGAGGCCACAGGAAACGAAAGATAAGGCACATCTACACCCAAGTCTTCTCAGCTCTGATCGGAATTCACAGAGCCACGCGCGTGGGGTGGGGAGGGCTGGGGGCCCTGCACAGGCAGGACAAGTTGATGGAGGGTAGAGCTGACTGCCTGGGTGAGTCTCCCTCCACTGCTGGGGCCAGGGTCTTGGCCAGGTGGCTGCATAGCCGTGGCCAGATCACTGTGAGGGCCAGGGTCTCGGTGGTCAGGACCCGGGTGGCTGCACGGCCGTGGCCAGGTCACTGTGAGAGCCAGGGTCTCGGTGGTCAGGACCCAGGTGGCTGTACGGCCGTGGCTTCCTGTGGCCTCTCCCTCCTGGTTCTCCTCATTACAGGGGAGCCAGAGGAGCCCTGGTGAGTCCACGAATGCCCGCTGCCTGCCTGCCTGCCTGCCCTCTATTCATGAATGCCCACTGCCCACTTGCCCTCCATTCAAACGTGCCTTCAGCCAGTTGGAGATTCTACCTGGGAGAGCAGTGGGAGACGGCCCACATGCTTGGGCTGCGGCCGTAGGGGAGACCGGGAACACGTTCCATGCGCCCGGCTCTTACAGGCTCAGCTGTGACCATTGTGTCAGAAATGAGCCGGCAGATGGAAGAGCTGTCTCTTTCCTCTGTGACTTTGACTTTCAAATATTAACAAAATTCTTAATTATTTGTCCACTGCGGCCTTTCCACCAGGTTCCCCCTGAGCACCTGCTGTGTGGTGGCCGGCCAGCCCCGGGGCTTTGTCGAGGGCAGCTAGGAGCCCTCCCGACCTTGGCAAGAGAAAGACTGTGACCACCAGACAACACACACAGAGCAGGGTCCTCGGGGCCTCTGCGAGGAGGGCGGCCAGCGGGTGGCAGGTCGCAGGACACGTGGTGAGGAAGGACTGCCCCCCCGGGGGGCAACAGGCTCCCAGCCCGAGCTTGAGGGCCCACGTGGCTGGGCTGGCATGCGGGCAGGGGTCTGCCACCCTCTGTACTGAGGCGCTTGGGCCCTGGGGGGCTCCCGGGCAGAAGCTGGGGTGCAGGCCACCGAGGCAGCTGGTGGCAGAGGTACCTGGTTTCTGGCGTGGTGGCTTTTGGTGGCAGCGGCTCCGAGCGCTCATGCACGCCATCTCCAACTCCCGGCCTCCTCCTGCGGGGTTTTTTTGGTTTGTTTTTTTGTTTTTCTTTAATCTTTTTTTGCTTATTTTTTTCTTTTACTTTTGTTTTTATGTAACCGGGGCCTGCCCTGAGCTTAAGTTTTGTCCTAAGAGTATGCGAGATCCTATCTGTATATTTGCAGGACAGCACTGGCCACAGGCTGGGCCTGAGGGAGCGAGAGGGGCAGGCGCTCCAGGCAGGAGGGGGATGGTGTGAGGGTCCGGGGCTTCCACGGGGCCGGGGAGGGGTGTCCTCGGAGCTGGAGGGCCACAGCACAGGGCTGAGCTGGCCAGAGGAGGTGAGCGGGGCAGGGTGGGGGCAGGCCTAGGGGCACAGATCGGTCCTCCCGACACACGTGCGCCCCTAAAGCAGGGGTGAGAGAATCTTCCAGAACCGTATTCCCACAAAGGACTCCCCATCCAGAGCCGGGCAGAGGGCCTGCTTCTCGTCAGCTGCCTGGCACTGACCGCCCGGCTCCGTCCTTCTCCCCAGGCTGCAGGCCGAGGGCCAGCAGGACCGTCTTAACTCCCCTCGCATCTCAGACGGCAGTCTGGGCCCCAGGGGCACCCAGACAGTCCGCCTCCCACCCGCCACCCGTCCGCCTCGGGGCACCAAGGGGCTGTCATCTCAGGGCTGCCCGCCCCCGGAAGGCAGTGACCTCAGCCAGCGCGGTGCCAGGGCTGGACTTTGTGCTCTGTCTGCAGCTCACCCGCAGGCTCTGCCCGATTCGTTGAAGCGAGCCAACGTGACTCATGGGTGCCACGCTCGCGGCTTCCTCCCCGAGACTCCTGGCAGCTGGACTCCTGTGTCCCTGCACTCCCTGGTGGGCAGAGGGGCCGTGAGCCCACTCCACGCGCCCCCTCTCCTGTCAGGAAAACAGGCTGCTCCCGTTGGCTGGCGGAGGGCTGCGCGGGCCACGAGGTGTTTGGTGTCACTGCCCCACCACCAGCCTTGGCTGGCCTGAGTGCTCGGGGGGAGGCGGCCCCCGACTCTGCAGGGACAGGGAGAGGTCGGTCACGGGTGAGCATGGGCCTGGAGCCGGAGAGGCCCGCCCCCCGTCCAGCACCCCGACTGCCTCTTCTGAGAAGGGCCAGTTTGAGCTGGGCTCACAGCCTGAGGAGTTCTCCAGGGGCGTCGCACGAGCAGGTGCAGAGGCCACTGCTGGTGAGGGGTGTCGGGCCCAGCCGGGTTCAGGGGTGGCCCTGGCCTGGGTTTGGTCTCCCAGATGAAAACCGCCCCTGGCGCCGGTTCTAATCCCGGCAGCCCCGCTTCCCTTCCAGCTCCCTGCCTGTGGCCTGGGAAGGCAGTCGAGGACGGCCCAAAGCTTTGGGACCCTGCACCCGCGTGGGAGACCCGGAAGAGGCTCCTGGCTTCGGATCGGCATAGTATCGGCCCGTTGCGGCTCACTTGGGGAGTGAATCATCGGACGGAAGATCTTCCTCTCTGTCTCTCCTCTCTGTATATCCGCCTTTCCAATAAAAAATAATAAAAATAAATCTTAAAAAAAAAAAAGAAAACCGCCCCTGTTTGGCATGTTCAGCTGCTCAGCCACGTGGGTGACTGTTACGGGACCAGCCCCGGCCCTGGGGGCTGCAGGGTGGACCCCAGGAGCTGCCTGCCAACCAGGAGGATGAGGGGCGGAGAAGGCGCCCTGGCTCAGGTGGCTCCAGGCCCGCCTCTTACTTTCCTTTCTCAGCCTTTTCACACATTCGCACAAAGAGACTCAAGTTGAAAGAGAAACCCTCCCCCAGGACTTCCCTATGTCCCACCTTACCCTCCCCCGCCCCGCCCCAAGGTAGCCAAAGCTGCTGCGGGCGGCAGGGGTGTGCAGAATGTCCTAGCGACATTCTGAGGGGCAGGAATGTGCCCCTTCAACACCCAACCCCACCCTTCTCTGCCTGCCTCTGGCTGGAATGCAGCTGCGATAGCTGGAACATAGGCAGCTGTGTTGAGTCATGAGGGATGAGGCCATGGTCAGGAGCCTGCGGGGCTGAAGATGGCAGACACTCCCGGGTCAGCCCTGGGAGGCTTCAGTCAGGGAGCCAGAAATGAATGTCTGTCGTCAGAGGCACACGCAGTTCCCCACTGGAAGCCAGGTCCCTGGGGACAAGCCAAAGGTGGGCTCCCAAGGACGCTGTCTGAGCCACTTGGAAGGCACGGGTCTAACCCACACCAGTGTTATCCCAGCGAGAGATCTTCCCAGCGTGCTCAGAAATACCCAGGGGTCCCTCAAGAGGCAGAGATGTGCGCACCCTGGGACCTACTGCCTGTCAGAGCCGGTGTCCGCCCAGGGTCCCTGTGGCACTTGCCCATCATAGACCCATGCCTGCGGGGGGAGCCGGGCCCCTCTTGTCCCACCTACTTGCAGTGGTGATCATGGGCCCTGTCCATGCCCTCTCCCTGGCACCCAGGACACTCAGAGAGACCACACATTATCGTCCCCACCCCCCTGGACCTCGAAACACCTGCCACCCTTTGGGATCCCGTTTCCTGCATCTTCTTCCAGCCACACGCCCCTCCTTGCCCACATGGGCCATGGTGGTCTGTGTCGGCAGCCCCGCCCCACTGCTCCCCCGCTGTGTCTGTGAACCAGGGCACCAACGGCATCTCCCTGCTCCGGGTGGCTGGCGAGGCTCAGAGGGGTCAGTGAGCATGGAGTGCCCCAGCGCTGTCCCCCATCAGCCTGTCAGGGTGCCTGGCCCTTCCTGCAGCAGGTGTAGTGTGGGAGCCAGGCCGGCCCGGGCTCTACTGTCAGCAGGCCAGGGGGGAGTGGCTTCGAGAGCACTTCCCAGACGCAGCCCCCTCTTTGACGCGTCCTGGTCCGGGTGGCGTGGTGGTCGTTGGTCACCAGCCTCCCTCCCTTACGAGGCTGGAGACTCTGACTCCAGGGGGCTCTGAACTCGGCTCACCTGGACATGCAGATCCTGGGCTGGACCTGGTGCAACAGGCGAAGGGAGCAGCGGTGGGGAAGGGGTGAGCCCCGGGGAGGGCACAGGTCCATGGGCTCAGCCTGGCCAGCAGGGGCTCACTTAGCGACACAGTGGGAAGCAGGAAGCTTGGGGTCCTCCGCGTCAGCCACTGGGCCTTGGCCCGGCTCTCCGGCCGCTGCTGCTGTGTGACTCAGCAGCCTGAGCACCCCTCCGACCCCGCCCCGCCCTGAGAGGCCGGCTAGGGCCAAGGTGGTCTGTGAGCCACCGGCCCTGGGGCCTCCAGCACTGCTGTGTGTCCCTGGGGGCTGGGCCCAGGAGGGGCAGCCGAGCTCCCTCCTGACAGGCATGGCAGCCCAGGGGTGGCAGAATGCCCTGCGTCGGTGGCAGCTGCAGATGAGCATGAACCATGAGCTTTCCCAGAGTGGAGGAGGGACGGGCTGCGGTGTTTTGACAGACAGGAAAGGTTCTGGAGGGGCTTGTAGGACGCCAGCGCCCCGGGCAGGTGCAGCCTGCCCCGATGGGCGTGGAGGTGGCTGGGTGCAGACACCGTGACTGGATGAGAGTCCTCCACGGTGCTGGGTGACGCCATCGGTGTCACTTCCAGCTGGCTTCCCTTGCCTCCCACCGCACCTTGGTGCGAGCTGCGGCCTGTCTGTAGCTCAGGGCAGCGAGTCACAGGACGTCCGTAGCAGGGAAAGCCAGGGACCCGTGACTGCTTGGAGTGGCCAGCCATGGGGCAGAGGGCGGCTCGTGGGCACCAATGTGAGCCACAGCTACTGTCCCACTTCTGTCACCCCCACGTGCCAGTCCTACAGGTCCCCC